AAGATTCAAATGATGATAGGAGCAATTAATGTATCATGTTCGAGTCATGCTCGTTTCAGAGCACTGTCTGCACATCAGTATGCTATTCCGCTAGTACACTTGTTCTCGACGATACACAAAAGAAGATAGGTATCATTAAAATTTATAGTTTTTTTCGAGTGAGACTGAATAAAGGTAACTTACCCATCATTGTATTGCATCGCGCATGATGATAGGTCAATTTTGCGTTGTTTTAACAACCGATTGAGTTCACTAGACAATGTTTTAGCATTGAATTGATGCAATAACATCAAATCCAAGAAAGATTCCTTTATCAAATCTTTTTTTATTATCAAATTTGATCATAAGTGATGCCAGTTGGTTGACTGTAACGCCTCGAGATGCATTGGCCATAAGAGCGAGAAACTTTTCATCTAACTAGAAAATCAGAAACAACTATAGAGCAAAATGTGAGCAGAATGACATGAGTAGTCGCTAACTTCAGCTGTTATTTGTTGTCGAACGTCGTCTGCCATGATATTCAATAAGTCATTTCGGGTGTGTTGGGATAAATACATTGAGTTACTTGAGCTATTAGCCGAAATAGATTTTATAATTGGATCATTGCTAGCAGCCTAATTCAACAACTGAGTGAAGTTGCCTCTATCACTCGATCTAAATGACGACCGCAAAACAGTATTATTCACTTTTCAAATGTTTCTCTAAGAGATCGACAGATTTAACATTGCTTGTTTTGTTAAGTCTGTTGATGATGCACTGCGCTCATGAGATTAATGATACGTTTTCATAACTTTTCACAGACTTTGTAATCAACATAGTTACGTAACTGTTGTTGCGACATGTAACTTGCTTGAAACATGTTTTTCGAATCTACTGTTGGCTTCCAGTACGTGTTTCTAGTTATCAAAACCATTAATGAAAACGTCAGCCTTAGAGCATGTAAAAAAGTCAATTGAATGTGAAAAATGACAACTCTCAACACGCTCTCTAGATGATAGATTTTTTTATGAAGGAGAAACTGGCAATCAGTTTCATCGGCTAATACTGATGGAGACGAATTAATAGAGGTAAAAACATTTAAGATCACATTCGAAGCAAATGAAATAGAAGCCGATGAAGGTAACATATCGATAGAATTAGAAGAACAGTGATTGTCACTTAGAACCGTTCTAAGGTCATCAGTAAGTTCCATGCTAATAGAATTTGAGAATCGAAATTCATCTAGAGTTCTTATACTTGAGTCATTGCCTGTAGTATTCGTTTCACATTGAAAAATTTCCATCAAGAATAGCATATTTGTCTTGATTGATGATGGTAACATAGATGAAGGAAGAAAGACAAGACATTTTTAATATCATTTCAAAAGAATATGATCCATGTATAAAAACGATCGTAAGCCCGTTGAAAAATCGATTAAAATTATACTGTTTTTATTCAATTATAATCTGATTTTAAATTTATATTTTGGCTTTTTCTAATTTCTAGAATTTCTTTTCAATTTCTCTTATCGTTTAAAATTCATTGATAAATTCTAATTAACAAAACTCGACAAATCTTTTTAATCGGTTAGCCGGAATTTTAAAAGAACTTGACAATAAAACAGTCAAACTTGACGACTAAAAGTCAGATTATAATCAAGTAAAAATAGTGTCATTTTAATTTTTTTTCTTAATGAAGAAATAATTCTTTTTAGTCCAATGTTCTGCCTTTTTAGCATAAATTCATGACACTTGTAGCATATTCAAACAAAAACGAGATATTTGCCAACGAAAATAAGGATTTTTTGTGACTGAGTATTATTATTTAATTGACTAGAAGTCTTTCATCACCATCTAGCGACAAATCGAGATTCATTTTTTTATTAATTGCTCGGCATGCTTATACTTTAATAAGAGCTCTTGAATCTCCTCGAAATCAAATTCGATAGCGTTCGTATTAAACAATGATGAGTTAGAAGGAGTATCACATACATAAGTTCTAATGAAATCGATCGAAAACACGAAATCATCACTAGCCAGTGAAATCACATATATAACACATGTTCTGAAAGATTCATGTTTGGATTTAGTAAAAGATTTCAAATAAGTTTCTATGAAAAAATATTAGCAGAATAAGCTATTTTCCCTTGTCCTCAGTGCAGAGCGTCAGTGCATCAGAGCGCTGTGTTCTGATAATGGTCTCTGTTTTCGATTTTCTATTATTTTCGAAAAAACAAACTTGATTCGATTATGATACTGAAGTTTATGTCCAACTACGTCACTTCATCCTAAACATGTTTCATTTTGACGATCGACTCGTCTATTGGCACTGCCGACTTATGAAGTATGTCCTTGATATTTAGATAGATCACATGGTTTTATCGAAATAGCACACAACGACCTTGAACTGCACGAAGAGATAGGTGCCGGAGCCTTTGGAACAGTTTATAGGGCTACGTGGAGAAGTAGACACTATATAATTGCTGTGAAAAAATTACATCTGACTCATTTAACTGGTAGAGCCGAGAAAGAGTTTTTTAAAGAGCTTACATTAATGCATAGTATTCATTGCCCTTACATCATTAATTTTTATGGTGCATGCACGGAAAAAGGAAAGTATGCGTTGGTTATGGAATACATGTCATTAGGATCATTGTACAAGATATTGCACGAAGATGAACTGGTGTTTAAATGGCCTGATCTGTTGTCGATTGCTTTGCAAGCAACCAACGGAATTAATTACTTGCATCAATTACCAGAGCCTGTCTTGCATGGTGACATAAAATCGTTAAACTTCTTAATGGATAGAGCCTATCAAGGGTACACTGTTAAAGTATGTGATTTTGGATTAGCTCGAACACGAAATGAAACGACACGTCAAACGAAATCTAATCATGCACTGGCCTATACACTGCCATGGACTGCTCCAGAAATACTTCGTTTAGAAGACTATTTAGATAAAAGCGACATTTATAGTTTGGGAGTCGTTTTTTGGGAACTGACAAGCAGAAAAATACCTTATTATGATCGTCAAGATGATATCATTCGTGCATTCGTGCTGGCTGGTGACCGTTTGAAGATACCAGAAAGTATTCCATCAACTTTTCGTGAGCTAATCAAGAAATGTTGGGCACAAAATCCGATCGATCGACCTAACAGCTCTGATCTGATCGAAATAATTCAAGAGTGCATTCACGTTCAAGGTAATTCCTATCCATTCTTGATTTATTGTGACGAAACATGGAGAGTTGGGCAACATTGGAATCGGTGATAAAAATGATCATTTCTAGCAGAAAAATGACCTCCAGGTCAAAAATGCTCCTTACCCCATGACAAGCCCAAAGAGAGAGTTAATTTGAACCAAATTAATGAGATCCACTTACAAAAAAATGATCTTTTTCAGCACAAACATGGGCACGAAAAATGTTAAAATGATTCAGTACACCAGAAAGATTTATTATCACTCCTCAAATATACGGGCAATCTCTAGAGAAAAAATGAAAATGAAGCAGAAAAATGATCTTTTTCAGCGAAAAGATGGGTTACAATAGTATTAAAATGAATTAGAACACAAGGAGAAAATCTTCAGCAGGACGGAAAAGTCCGCTGAAGGAAGGAAAATCATATTGCTCGTTACATATACGTAATAGTATTATGCATGTGATTTTAGTAGTTGAACATTTTGTAGAATATAATCATGTATCTAGTTTAAATTTATCGAAACATTTCTTCTATGTATCGGAATGAAATAGATATTGCGAAAGAAGACATCTTAAACCGAATAGAAAAGTCCACTGAAACAAACAAATGTCCTTTGTCCATCAAATATATTTATTTATTACATGTCGCTATCTAATTCAATAGTTGTATAATGTTTCTTGTGTGCCTTTAAGTAAAATAAGTTGTACAAAAAAAACGAATCTTTATGGGAATAGAAGAGTTCGTTGAAAACAGAAATCTAAATGCACACCAGCGATAGAAGAAATTATGAACGTATGCGTTTTGTTCTTTGTTGTGATCGTATGTAAACGATACCTCGATATATACATATATCTATCTTCCATACTAATGTATAGACAGAAAGGAAAGAAAAATGCATTTTTGATCCGAACGACATTTTCCCGCTAGATATGAGCATTTTTCTCAGCAATCGAAAAGTCACCCACTGCTGCTGAAAGTATACGATTCTGGCTGAGCATAGAAAACTGAGTAGAAGATTGTGAGTTGGTTATATCTAGAATTAATAAAAAATAAAGTCTCTCCAACGCAGAATGCTCGAGCAAACATCTCCCAAAGAAACGTTTTCTCTATTCTCTTTGCATTCCATCTGATATCCGGTTACACTCAAGTGAATGGTAATTATAACGATGACTTTATTTATTTATTTCATTACAGTTTAAAGTCAATCACTATTCGGCTCAAGAAAAATGCAGTCATTCACTAACATTTACTAAACTTGAAATAAATACATCGATAAGATACTTTTTTCGTATGAGGATACGGGTGAGGGTGGAAATCAGTAAAAGGATGCAATCGTTAATAATTTTCCAATGTTGGCCAGCTGAAATTTCAAATACTTCAGAAGTCGGAAAAGAATTTAAAACTTGAATTAATTTTTTCAATCAGTCAATAAATTCAAGAAACTCTACACGCCCTATACTTCGGTTACATCTTGTAGATTCTATGTGGCTTAGATAGATCCATGATGCACAGCAACTAGATTACAAATCTTAGAGAATGTTCGCTAAATTGGTGAATAAATACAGATATCCATTCGTAAGAAGAGAAACATCTGATTTATCACGGAAACAAAAATTCTATGAGAAATAAACAGATTCATTCACTGGTGGCGAGAGTATCACCCGGATGTGTGTGCAGTTCAGAGCATCTATTAATAAGCATCTTGATGATTTTATCTAGTCTTTCATGAGAAGAGTTTGAACTCAACGTCGTATCTAATTAATATGATTGGAATACGAACTTCCAATGCACCTAGGTAATTTTTTCGATTGTGTTTAATTAGTAAGAAACTTATTTTTAAAACTTTATTCATAAACCTATACAACAGTGCATTAATGATTCTCGATTTTTTTTCAGTACAGCTAAAATTTAGATCAAAATAAATAGCATAATCAGAGTTAACACAAAAACCTACGTCAGATCATAAATATTTCAGTTATAAAACTTTTTGATGAAAAATGTACTCATGCTAGATTACAGGAAGAGTTTAGCAAAGACAATAGTGAGGAAGCTACATCTACCTTTTTTACTAAAATAACGGGTGGCCCAGAATAAATGAAGATCTCAGTATTTCGCTAATATCTCGCTCAATTTTCATTGTACAAGATTAAATTTTTTTCTAAAAGATGCGCCCCCCCATTCTTGCCCAAGACG